TACATGTCACAAGCTTGAATAGTCCTATCATGGAATGCAGCTGATTTATAGAATTTCCTCATTAATTATGCAAATTACATTAATATTTGCATAATTGTAATATCATTATGTCAAGCATCACTTCAGCTACCTACATGCCAAAAATCACGACGATCCATCAATCGGTTCTTGAATTATCTACCTTTAAACATTTTTCAACTAATGCACCTGCAGTTCCAGAGCAAGCTGCTAGGGGGGCCAAACTCATGTCACTTGTTCCCCAGCACCAAAGCTACCTACTATTCAAATTTCGTCAGCCTAGCATGTCTAGATCACGAGATACCAAAACTGGAAGTTCAGCTGCAGTACCATAACAAGCTGCTAGGGGGCCCAAAATCTAATCAGTTCCACGTCTCATCAAGACCTACCCACCTACCAAATATCAAGACAATCCATCCAGGCGTTCTTGAGTTATCGTGCTCACACACACACACACACACACACACACACACACACACACACACACACAGACACACGAACGCCTCTGAAAACATAACCTTCTTGGCGAAGGTAATTAATCCACATAAAGTTGTCACTAAGCTAAGGACTGGATATCACAAATTGACTACAGAATAGGAAGGCACCAGAAAAGTTGTTTGATCATTTAGGCCAGAATTTGTGGAGGATGATTTAAGTAACTGAAGGCAATCATTAACTCTCTACATATGTCACTGAATGTTCTAGTTATAATGATATAGTAGTACCTAATACATTTTTGCATGTTTTGTCGTTTTCGACTGGTGCGACTCTTTTCCAGTCGAGTCCAGACCCAGGCGCTAAATCAAAACTTAGTCCAAATCGCTGTAATGAAACGTTACATGTGATGAAGCTTTTGTTGTTCATTCCATTTATTTAGTACTTAAAAGTATTTTGTTAAAAGAAACGTGCTAACTACTTTTACATGGGATAGCTATACTATATTAGGTAGAAAATTTTATCCCACTATACCGCCAAGAGTTCGTACAACACTCTAAACATTCTATTTAGAAAAATTCATTCTTCATTTCCTTCTGGTAAATTAATGGAAAAGTAGAACGAAAAAAACGGGATATACGAATAGCACACACTTATCCCCATATTGCTAATTAGCACGTTTTTTACAGTCAAATACTTTTCAGTTCTAAAAAATTGGGATAAATAATCAGATCTTTTTAAAAATGTTACATGATTTTTTCACGTGTCTTCCACCTGTAATTGCTGTCCCTTCACCCGTAGTTGTTATAACAAGTTAGACCTTATTTTCAGCATGCCTATTCCTCAGTCCACTTCACTCTGTCTACTTCTATTATATATACCGAGTGGTCAAATATGGAACAGTCACAAGCTATTTCATATTAATTTCTTTGAAGTCACAAAATGGGGCATGACAAAGACTGGACAAACTCTGAGACCAAAACTTAGGGTGGTTATTTCTTAACCTGCCGGAATACAGCAGGTTATTTCCAGGGCTCACGCAGGCCAGATCGTCGGCTCAAGGCTAGGTCTAGCATACCCCCAAAAAAATGCTGCCTCAAGATCAGCCGCCTTGGTATTTAATTTTTGCAGGCAAAATCACCGGGTTTAGTTTAGTTGTCCAGACGAGAAGAGAAGCGTACAGTTCCAAGGAAGCCCACTGTATAGACCTGGTGACCCTGTTGTTATTCTTTGATGTTGACAAGTAGATTATTTGTGGCCATCTTGAATCTTGTGTCTTTTCAAGATTAGGTATTCCTTGTGTTGATTTCCTACATTGCCATGTACCAGTAAAATGCATATAGTATAGCTTCGAGGACGTAATCATGGACTAATTTTTAGTTGACCAGACGTAGTTCGCAAACTGGAGCTATGAAAAGACTAGTTATATGATCTGTAAAGACTGGTATTGTAATCTTTAAAGCTGAATGTGGATCCAAATAAAGTCAAAGTCATTGTACATGTGGAATTTCAGCTGCCTACCGTAGCTAGATATATAGTTCAGTTTCAGAATCATTGATGAAAAGTCTACCGGCAACAGCTAGCTTCATGTACGTATAGGGACATGAACAACCATCTAAGTCTACCTAACTCTGTGATCGTTCGGCTAACCTTGCAGAGACCCCTGGCGAGAACATCGATAATGGCAGTAAGTAACAAGCTTCCCTTTCAACAGTATTTGCAATGCATGACGTCAATGACCATATTATTATGAAGAGGCGGCTCGCATCAAATTAAGACCATCACAGGACGTCGCAGAATATACTGCTCCTGCACTAAACCCTTTTCACGGTTTTCGTTGATTGTTTGGTCAACGTTGCATCAGAATTTTTCCTGTTGCAGACGATATTTTCACTTTCCTACATAACATTTGGAAACTACAACGGAGTGTTAACCTTATATACGCGAGTAAGACCTTTTATGAGACGTTTTGCCGATCAAAGCGCTATGCACAATACATAGTCATCAACCTCTTGTCTTTTATTCCTTTTATTACCGTTAAAATTATGCCTGCTTTTTCTAATAAAAAACGACACCTATCATTTAGACCTAACGTTACTTACGTATATGATCAATTGTGTCATTTAATTTCTTTCGAGAAATAACTTCATTTTAGAGATAACCTTCTGAAAATTGGCAGGGTGACAATGTGGTTATTTCAACCAAGCCATGGAAAATTCTTCAGCGAACTATGCTTGAATGTGACCAAATAAGACCTATATAAACTTTAGTAAGCTAACCTGAAAACCCTAGCTGCAGTGTTGTCATGACAAGATATGATGATGATAACATTTATGTTCCCAATTACTATATAATACATGATAAGTCATAACCCAAACAATATACACATTTGCAGAGAAAAAAAAAACTTTATTCCATTGTTCCAGATAAATATTTTTCTTAGGCTTGATCCGTCAAAAATTCTGCCGTCAGTAAGGCCATACATGTATGTGTGGCTAAAACTGGAGTCATTGGTTGATGATACACCAACGCCCTCTTGCGGTCAAGACTGTAGTTACAGACAGACATGCGTCAGGCCTCAAAGATAAATCCTTAAATCCTATTCAAAGCAATATATAGACTTAAATTGTTTTTTGTACACAATGCACAGCATGATTATAAAGTATCCTTGTCAATATTTCCAAAAGTAGTGATTTTCTTACAGACTGTCACTGAAGCCAAGAATATATCTATAACAAACTGTGCAGAAAAAAATGTATCTACTATTCTTGCGTACTTCTATTGAAACCTACTATTCTATTTCCTTACTAAATACTATTTCTTCATTCTTTATTCAAACAATGGTCAACATACGTTTACATAAACAAAGACAATTATGGACTACCGAATTGTATTGACCTTACATGTACGTAAAAGTACAATGCGGGCACGAACACTATTTGTTAACTGCACATGGTACATATCCATTCATATGCAGCTCACCTACATCTACTTCACACTACAAACCATATTATAGAACAATTATATTGACACAACAAAAGTACCGTGACTTTCGTAAAGTCTTTAACTACATGTAAACATACAGACAGATACGTGGGTATAACAGAAATTAACCTAGTACATGCAAGACAATAGATGAATCAAATTATACTACTAGTACTTATTCTAAGGTCTAAATATTCCTTGATGTATGTACCAATCTGTACATAGTAAGGGTTTCTACCTCCTAGAATAAAATTGAATTTATCTATAGCATTACATATAACAAATTCTGTTTAGCAAGCAGAAAGAAGAGCTTTGTGTGATTATATCGTCATATAGCGGGCAATCCATAATAGATGTTGTTCATCTTCAAACTCATTAGGACAGAATAGACAACAATCTTGTCGCGGTTTTTTTTACATCTTCCTAATTTTTACATTCGATGTATGGCTACAAATTCTCATATTTGTAATATAAAACAGTTTATCTGCATTTCCGGCACAAATCTGCACTACATACCATTCATAGGTAACATCACGTATAGTAAAAGACAACATATTTGTTCTGAGCATCATTTTTAACCGCTGCCTAAAGACGAACACATATGAAGTTTACCTTAACTTTTTTACTTAATTTTTTAATGTTAAAATCAACACTTCACGCCAATGTGAATATTTAGAACGTTGCTTTTTCAATCATTCTGTTACAATAGAAATATCACATCATTTTAATTTTTTACGTCTCAAATAGGTAACGTTATTATATTGGTATCTTACTTAACATAAATACACTTACTATGTAAAGATCAAGTTAACAATATTTAATTTTTATGTACAGTAAATGTATCTTGAGCATACTTTGTTCATTCATTAGCGAATTGCGCTAAATGGCTATTCACAAAAATACTCTCTTAACCTCACAATGCTTATATATACTTTATACAGTCAAAAACATTTTAAGTCATGAAATCCGAAAATCTGTACAAACTAAATATTCTTCACCGTCCTCTGCATTTGCCTTTGAACAGAAAACACATTGTTTTTACTATACTCCTTATGTTATTTGTTATCTATATTTAGGAGATTTTCTCCAGACTACATTAAGTGCCCCTTTTAGGTGACATGGTTCTTTTCTTCAAATCACTAAACTTCAAACTTCAACCTATAGCTATCGCGCTTGCGACAAGTACAATGTTAATGGCTGGAAATCAAAGCCAAAATCGGATTGTCATTTCTATACTTGGTACTTGGCCGATAATGCATTGTGCAATTAGATCCAAGAACTATACAAGAACGTAATCCAATGAAAGTTCTATCTCTGGGTGAACTAAAAATGGCAAAGTATCCTCCATAACCAAACTGCGGTCTCACACTGAAGTTCAAACTGCGTCTCCTACTGAAGTTCAAACCGGGGTCTCACGCTGAAGTTCAAACTGCTGTCTCATACTGAAGTTTAAACTGCGGTCTCACACTTAAGTTCAAACTGCGGTCTCACACTGAAGTTCAAACTGCTGTCTCATACTGAAGTTTAAACTGCGGTTTCACACTTAAGTTCAAACTGCGGTCTCATACTGAAGTTCCGCAGGCTCCTCCGTCCTGATGGACAGAAACCTCGTGGCTAAGCATGGGCTGTGTACCATGGCCGGAAGTTCCTCCAGATGACCCCTCACCCTCACAGTCGGCCTGGGGGATTTGGAGTACGCAACCGACACCAGCGCTACAACAGAAAAATGGGAAGTTTTAGCACTTTTTCTTTACTTCATAACCAAAACGCTAAGCTTAAGGCTTTCGGCAAGAAGGTGCTTGCTCGTGAAATTTCCCAAGACACAGATACACTGAACCATGGCAAACTAGCTGGATATTGACTCACCCTTTTTCACTTTCTTCAATGGATTGTTCGTCCGATGTTGTCTGGCGCTTGTTGGTGAACCTAATCCTGGTTCCCCGGGTAATGGTGACGTTGTTCCCGGACCAGTGGATGGTGACGTTCCGCCCAAATCCGGAGTTCGAGCTCGTCTTCGTCGATGAGGTGCGCAGCCAGCGAGCCCGCGAGAGATGACGGAGGCACAACCATTTAAGATCTGTCTGAGGAAGCGAAACAACAGGGTTCTTAAGATGACATCTACAGGAATCTTACTGAGACAAGATTAGAATGTAGAAAAGTACAGCAGATTTACATTTTTTTATTTGATTTGATTATATGCATGACATTCTCTGGGAACCCCAAAACTGATGCAAGCGTGCGAATAAAAAACCTTTGGCGAAAAAAAGTTGCCTTTAAATTAACATCGCCTTATAAAAGAAAAATAGACTGTGTAACTGTGTACATGTACATATGCATGAACCATTTAAAATATGCCTGAGGATGCAAAACAACAGGGTTCTAATATTGGAAGAATCCTACTGACGTTCAAACTTTTCCTGGCCACATTTTCTAGAGTTAATCCTTTGTTTAGTCAGATCTATAATATCAGGCTGCTTTACAGAAGCTTCCACACATCCCATAATGTATTTTCTGCTTTGAAATAGTGTGAGATAGGCATGCTATTACTGAAGGTGAAAGGGATGTCAAACCAGTTTAGCTCATGCTCACTGAAGAGATACGATTCCATTCATGTTGACAGGAAAGACGGATGATACATATAAACTCACTGTAGCGGGAAATTCCCATATCTCTTTTCTAAGATACAGTGAACACTAGACCATGGCTCAACGCCGCATCTTCAAGTTAAGAAACCCTTATTAGTATTGTGCATCCCATGATGACACGATGAGCGACAACAGCCGGGATTGCTCCACACACACACATTTTTCTGGAACTGTCGCAAGGGTCTGTTTGGCTGCCATTCGGCGCTACCAGTACAGCTCAAGACTACTTTCCCCAACCGAAGTTAGGTACCCATAGACACCTGGGTGGAGTGAGGAAAGTCGTGCAAAGTGCCTTTCCCAAGGGCACAACGTCGGGGCGCTTGTCCAGACATGTCCCGGGTGCAACTCGGGATCGAACGCGGGTCTCGTCGTTTCATAGTCGAACGCTCTACCACTGCCCCACCCGGCGCCACAATCACTGGAAACCGTAGAAAAGAAACTAAACCCAATGCACCCACCCTGAAGGAGTCGTTGAGGAAGCCGTAGATGATGGGGTTGACGAAGCTGTGGGACATGGCCAGCCAATGGGAGCAGAAGAAGAACACCATCACCGTCTGTCGGCTGCTGAGGATGACGTCAGGATAGAAGTCCAGCACGATGCTGAAGATGTGGATGGGCAGCCAGCACACGGCGAACAGGCCCACCAGGATGATGATCATTTTCACCTGATGGAAAATGATACCTTTACATCAGGGCCCAACAACAGCCCACGCTTAATGCTGAGGTCACAGTTCTAAACCAGGGCCCGGCCGGGCAGTCTTAGTCTTATGGAACGAAGTACGATAAAAGAAAACCAGTGCGCGTGAGAAAATGGGCCAAACTCCTGATGAAAAACCCATGAATCCCACCACCATCTGATTGATAAACAACATGACAGATATATGCCAACATTGCGAACATTTGTACACATCTACAACTTTTGATAAACCATTACTGATTAATTGATATGCTAGGACTTAGCCTCCTTTTACTTGGGACTCTGTAGGTCTCTAATATACTACTCACCTTTCTCTTGCAGCGTTCGTGTTTGCGCTCACTGATGTCCTCGAGGCTGTATATGGACGATGGCGAGTGTCTGCCCCACAGTTTGACGCCGATCTTGTAGTACGTGACGGCCAGGATGGACAGCGGCAGGACGTACGTCACACAGGCGAGCACGATGGTGTACCCGATCCGGTAGTTGATTCCGGGCCACAGGATCTCTTCACATCTCTTGTACCACGTGTCGCCACTCTGGACCTAGTACGCAGAGAGGTACATTTGTTTCATGATCATAATAAGTGGGTCAAACCTTACAGACCAGTGAGAGGGGCAGTGTGGCGTAAATGTGTTTGGCTAAATACCAAGAGGTCCCGAGTTCGAATCCTACCCATGTCACACTCCACGTACGTTAAAGAACCCAGGTCATGAAAAAAGTACTACTAGGTGCCCTTTCCTGTGTGAGTGGTTCAAACTTTACAGTCCGGTCTTGTGCAGCTTGTACTTACATGTACAAAACTGGTGTTTTTTTATATTCAAACGTGGTGGGGACACAATCAACTTATATCAATGCCGCCACCAACATAGGCCCAGGGGACAATACAATACTCATTTTCATGTGAAAGAAACTGTTAATGAAAAATTTCCATATCTACGAAGTAATAATCATATGTATCATCGTTACACTATTCTTCATTGCTAGCAATTCTGGCCATAGGCCATGCAGCAGCCCCAGACAACGTATGGATTGATATCGGAAAATGCAGAAGGTACATAATGGAACATGTCGGCATCCAGCGTTTCTCGTAGTTATCCCATTAGTTCAGAAAGAAATCTACAAGTACACGCGACACCGTGATGACAGAGGCGAAAGGAAGTCAGACAACGCGCAGTGATGTGTAAGATTAAACCGTATACGAAATGGCACACGCCATCCGGAAAGAGGGGGAGTGAAGCGCGGTACGTGTAACTAGATTAAAATGACGGAAACAAGTTTTTGCTTACACCAGGACTGTGTGAAAATGGCAGATTCCTCAGGTTTCCACGCAGCAGGTGATCTTTTTTCGGCAGGAATTTTGTGTGTACCACTTGTAGGATAGCCATGCTCTATTCTCCTACGGTTTAAACATCTTTGGCACAAGATATGAGAAGGTGGTGTAATCACGACATTCTCAGTTGCCAGTACTTAGAAATCAGGGTTTACCGTCACAAAACGTAAACCATAATGTCATACAAACATGCACATCTTGAGCCATAAACATAATATATAATATATAGAAATATCCGTAAACATTGCTTCACTAATATTTGCGCACTACACAGCAACTTTCGAAGTATTTACTAGATACACATTGGGTTCTTAGGAACACAACCAAAAGGATTTTATCTGCTTGCATTTTAGAAACTTTCGGATATCTTCCCTTGACTCAATAAAATCTACGTCTGTGTCTGCATCTTTGTGATCAAAATACATGCATTTAGATTTTTGGTAACCAAAGGACGCCGGTGTACCAGATGGGGTTTCTTTCACTGGTTGCTGCAAAGTAACACTAATCAGTCTCTTGTCTTAACAGATGATACTACATCACTTTTAACATGATTAAAAGTGCTGTCCATGACATATCATATGTCACCACATTCTGCCACCCTCCAGATGAAGCCTCAGTGGGCGTCACACCCGTTCATCACACAAACTGAACCCTCGCGCCTGCCATATATGATTGAACTGCTGAACCGCAGTGAGACATTCGTTTGCTCTTGACTATCTGTACCAATTATGCCCCATAGTTGGCCTGTCGAACTTTAACCCTTTTAATTTTTGGAACTATTCTACTTTTTACTAGTATCTGTTCATCTGGCAAAGTTTGTATAGATTGTTCGTATTCTAGTGTTTTACATGTGAAGATGTCTCTTACTGAATTTGTCGTCATGTCACAGCACAATAAAGCAATTCTGGCTGCTATATTTGTGACAATGTCGAAATAATGGGCGGAATTACTTACCTGATACACCCGGCATACGGCAAGCTGCACAGCGGCCAGGGCGAACGACATGATCCAGATGATCGCCACCACTTGTTTGGCCCGGGATTTGCTCATTCGCATCCTCAGCGGGTACATGACAGCTTGGTACCGATCCACTCCGATCGCTACTAAAGTAAAGATACTCACAGACACAGACAGAACTTGAAAGAATCGAACCAGCGGACACATGACGCTTCCAAACAGCCACTGTTGCAGCATCACGTCCGTGAATGTAAAGGGCATGCAGAAGACTGCCATCACTAAGTCCGCTACAGCTAGATTGATGAGGAAAGTCCTCAGCTTAGTCCCCTTGCTCAAGTTCTTAGCCATGACCATAACGACCAGAATGTTTCCGATCAAAGACAAAAGGATGGCCACGGAATACACGACAACGATGGCGATTTGGGATCTGGTGGACAGCACGTATTCAGCAAGATCGAAGTACTCTCGGTAGAGAAGATCTGTGTAGTTCAGCTTCTCTAGTAGAGAACTGTTCTGGAATAGTTCCTCCAAGCGGACATTCATGTTGCTGCTTTCTCTAGGTCACTGTCACCGAGTAAAGAGTGTTGGCGAGTCTCGACATCTTCCTGGAATGACAGAAGAAGGTTATGTGTAGCTTTCCCCTTGGTTGCATTTGTAGAGTGAAACTAACCAATGCAAGTGCGTCGGCGGTAACCAATGTAGGTAAGGCCACAGCAAATAAATCTTATGAATGACGTCCTCCGCAGACTCCAAATTTAATGATACAGGACGAAAAAAAAAACAAGGCGGGCACAAAAATATTCATACATTTTCAACTTTTGTGATCACAAACCTTGTTTTGAGGCGACAAAACATGATATAACAACCAAAACAGGTCTGTCCTTGTAGATGTGTATACATCTCAATTAATAATTGTAGAAGCTATTATTTAAACGCGATGGAACACCTTAGACATGCCATGGAAGCGAGCACTTGTGTCTCAAGTTTGCTGGATCACTGACGGTCTCTGAACCGCTGGACGGACGTTTACAAAATTTCGTCCATTTTTGGCATGTTGTCCACCGTCAGTGACCAACAAAATTTCTATCTTTTTTTGCAAAATCAGTGAAAATTAATGCGCGTGCACGTGATGATGTCATCCATAAAATTTACGTGCAGTGGCCTAAAGAGTGTTTCCATGTTTCGAAATTTTCCTGGAACTGACAGAAAAAGATTTTATGTAGCTTTCATCTCGGGTTCTTTCCAGACAGAGCGGTCCTTCCTTTGAGAAACGTTAGTCGCGTTGGCTTGAACTAATCGATGCAAGTACGCTGGGGCTCGTACGTTGGCGGTAAATAATGTAAGGAAAGATTGTTTCCATGTCTCGAAATCTTTGTAACTGACAGAAAAAAGAATTTATGTAGCTTTCATCTCGGGTTCTTGCCAGACTGAACGATCCTTCCTTTGAGAAACCGTTGTCGCGTTGGCTTGAACTAATCGATGCAAGTACGCTGGGGCTCGTACGTTGGCGGTAAATAATGTAGGGAAAGATTGTTTCCATGTCTCGAAATCTTTGTAACTGACAGAAAAAAGATTTTATGTTGCTTTCATCTCGAGGTCTTTCCAGACTGAGCCGTTCTTCCTGTCAGAAACCTTAGCCGTGAGAACTAATCAATGCACGTACGTCGGCGGTAATACAAAGCGGGTTTCACGGTGAATATAACACGCACAGCCAACATCCTTCCTGTGGCAGTCTTCCGAGCCTCTAGGGTTGAATAAGCTTAAGGTGTCAGTTCTGCATATACATGATAGCGATCTAATGTATGGAACGGAGCAAACCGATACGTCTCGGACAGATAATAATCCACATTACACATGCTTGTGATTTCAGGATGTACGTCAATGCAAGAATTGATGACATTTCGCTTCAGAGCCCATTTTATAAACCGGGAGAGATTAGATCACACCAAGGAGGTTTAAAATCTTGTATTTAACCCCCTTGATAACAGCAAGCACATTTTGAAAAAAAAACACACGAAGTTTCTAAATATTTAGATATTTCTATAGATCTGTCTGTTTTCTTCTTTCTACACACAGACGATCGTTATAACTAATGTGAGAAAAGTACAAAATGTTACCTGATTTAAGCAGAGAAGAACATGTTCTCCACAGCTCCGGATCTCTGTTTTGGCACTGTTTTGTTTTGGCACTGTTCCCTTTTGCACATTGTCCTTACACGCCGCACGGTCTGTCCCCAAGCGACTGCTAGCTTTTCTCGCCAACGCTCGTAGTTCATCAAAATACAAAGCAGGCAGCGAAAACCATTTCTTCTGCTCCCAACCTCTAAGTGGAATTAGACATTTCTGTCAAAGATACATGCCTCTGTCTTCACGCAAACTCAAGTTGTTCAGAATGTTTAGAAAGACGAACAATCTTCTGGCTCCTTATCCTCTGAAGCTTGTGGCTTGTGTGGTGTAGTCCTTCAGGATCTTCGTGAATTATGAGAGAGTAAGCCACGCCTATTAACGAACGTCAGCCAATCAGAACGAAGGTGACATGATGAATGACAGGTACCTTTACGCTATGTATAGGCCCCTTTCAAAATGCGAACTCGCAGCGTTTCTTTTACCAAAATTGATGATCTGTCCACAAACGTTACTCGTATCTCTGCATTCCAGACTAATGTCCGGAAGAACGTACTAAGTATGTTGCAGTCTGGTCAGTGGAGAGTCCTGGAGAAAAAGGAAAAATACGGTCGCATCCACAAGATATAAGTAAGAAGGCGTGCAAATCTTACACCAGTAATGTCTTTTACAAATTAACAAATTAACAGGGTCATTTTAATAAAAGAATAGTCAGATAGAATAGTCAATAGGTCCATACCTTTCAAACCTATAAACACAATGAAAAACAACGCATGTAGTGTCTTTCACATAAATCATTGATCTTATCTGAGCAGCAACGTTCGCAAGTCCCGTGTGGACATGTTTTCTATTCAGATAAGACGACTGTCTGTAAAGTACACGCGTGACTATTCCGCTAAGGCAGCATTGGAAGGTCACAGCAAAACCATTTGTTCAATTATTGAAAGCTTTCATTTTCCGGTGACCAATGAATGTTGTAATAGTTCTCAGTAAACTTAGCACAATATGGGTATAATTTCTTGTTTAACAAGGTTTATGATGTCAAAATTTGAAAATGTAGGAATCTTGCTTTTTGGCTCGCCTTGGTTTTTTTCGCCCTATCGCATTAGATTTGGAGTCTGCGGAGGATATCACCTATAAATTTTATTCGCTGTGGCCTAAGTATGGAGCACATGTTAAGTGTTTTATTGTATTTCAAATTATACTTTCACATCGTGAATCATAAAACCATTATTCCTCCTCAGTAGGCTGTTGCGCAGTTTACTTCCCTCTCTCTTGTTGCGAGCAAGGCTCTAAATCTGTGTCATTGAGAGATAATTATTATTGTAATCTCCCATGAGCTGTTGGATGTAATATAAGTAAGCGGTAGGCTGTCGTCTTCGTTTGTGTCCCATGGCTCAGATCATCGATACTCAGGCATACTGAGAGCGCGTCTCAGAAATATCATTATAAAACCGTAGGAAATACACTAATCTAGATTCATTGCCTCAATAGTGTTTCTTAATGGTCTTCAACTTGTGATATCGAGCTTTACTAAATCCTGAAGCAATGTAAACACGTTCGTAGGCTAACTTTTATATTGGCCTCAACTGTGTAATCATCTATCTTCCCGCTGCGATGCCAAGCGTGTGCAGCATACACATTGGCAAACATGTCACAAATCCGTTCAATGTGGAATCTCGCCAACCACGAAAATTACCCGTGTTGAAAGACATCCCCGCGGATTTACACACTATTTGATGTCTTTGATGGGTTCTCCTAACATAATTCCAAACGAGATATGATCGTAACAGGCAAACAAATGTAATTTTCTTCAGCGCAACTGTCAAAACATATCGTTACTTCTAGACTGCAAATTGTGTAGACATAAGCTTGTTGAAATACTAGTAAATTTCTTCTCTTTTAGGTCAGACAAATGCACTTTACTGTCAATAACCAAGATGTATAGCAGAATTTTATTCGATTTAATCATAGTTACAACATAGAAATCTGGTCCCAAAGGTTATTTTCACTCTCCTATCCCGAAGTTGATAGGAAATAACACAAGGCATGTATTCAGCAGACACCTCGAAGACTGCAGATTAGGTATTGTAGGCTTGTTTTCCAGATTACTAAGTCTGCATTTTAATCTCCCGTGGGTTTAATTTATATACGTAAGTTTAATAAGAAAATTTTGTGTGTCATTGAAACGTCGGCTGTGAATAAAACACCTCGTTGTGTAAAAAGAGTCTCTTTACCCAATGACTTAGGCCACACCAAGTAAATTTTATGGATGACGTCCTTTGGAGACCCTAAATCTAATGCGAGAGGGCGAAAAAAAACAAGAAGGGCCCAAAAAAGCAAGATGCCTAGATTAGAAATATACTAAGAGACGACAAATGTTAGGACACAAATTGAATGAGGTGACACAGTGTAACAAGCAAGAAGTCTTTTATTCATCATCAAAACAGCAATAAATCAGGTGGAACAGCAGTTGTCGTTCTGTCCTGTTCTCGCGCGTTACGGGTTCCACATCAATCTGACGATTTGCAGCACTGTCGTGACTCTTTGGTCATAGTTACAGGAAGCGTAATTTCTTGTTTTTTTTCTAGGAACAGGCCAAAATCAATGCGCGCGCGGACGTCATCCATAAAATTTACTTGGTGTGGCCTTACCAACCTGATGAAACTGTTGAAAGAAAAAAAATGGTCATTAATGGTTTGCTCAACAATCGATTACCGCCACATGTGTAGACGTCTGACAGATATTCCATGGAGTATGCACGCAGGAAGAAATAATGACATCGCAAATGCAAGTACATGTAATGTAAAGTACTTTGACAAAGCGTGTAAGGCGCATTTACTGAAGATGCTTTCTCCGCACTGCCATAACAGGTGTGCCGTGACTTGCTCCATGCGCGTTAAATGAATATTACACCCCTTATCTTTTGAACACAGATGGTACAACACCTTAAAGATGACACCCTCATAAGGTTCAGACACCTATCTTGTGATGTAACAGGCTTTGTCTAATGGGGATACTGATGAGAATAAATCGATACAATTCTTAGAAAAGGACTTAAACCATAACAGTTGCGACGATAGATTTGACAGGTACAATCGGTGCTGTAGTTATTTGTACTTAACATATGCATGTCTTTTTCATCACTGGAGTCATGGTGTAGGTAGGGCTGATCCTTTCATGCCTATTTAATAGGCGCTGGGCTATTTGGAATGCATGGTTAGGACAGAGTGAGTGAGTGAAAGGAGTACGTAAATAGAAATTTAAAACTAGAAAGGTAACATTTGCAAAGCAAATGCATAATGTATATCTTCGCATATGGTCTGCTCTGTTTATTCCTACTCAAACACATTCATATGGTCAGACAAGAGTCTAAATCCCTCCTGTTATAAACTTGCAACATGATGTAACCCAACACCAGTTACCATGGTGAGAGACATGTGGTTCAGGTCATTGACCTTTTTTTTTTAGAAGAAAAGGAAGAAGAAACAGAGCAAAAACAATATGTTTTCTTTCGGTAAACATAATAATATATATTCTATACGTTATGTCCGCCATATATGATTTGTATTTTGAAACAAAAGTTCAAACTTTCAAACTTTCTTCTGTTTGGGTCTGCTTTTTTGATGTTCTACTTTTCGGAATGTCCAGTCTGAATAGTTACATCGGGCGAGGGCCTGTTTTATGTGTTGTATCTCCTGTTGTCTATCTGATTCGTCCGTTACTACTGCATTGCATCTGTCCATCAGTGTCTGGATAACTCCTAGTTTCTGGTGAAGGGGATGGTGTGAGTTGAAATTTAGGCATTGGTCAGTATGTGTCTTCTTTCTGTAAATCAACAGTTTCACTGTGCCGTCTTCCTTTTTCACCAGCAAAGTATCAAGAAAAGGCATGGCGCCGTTCTCTTCTACTTCGTGGGTAAATTTGATGCTGCCTGTGGTGTCAATAGTGTTTAGGTGGTCGGTGAGTTCACGCTCAGTTCCCTTTTTTACTATGCACCAAGTAACATCTAGTGTCAGTGCACAGTAAACCAGTCAGGATTGCCCTGATGAAAATGACAGAAGGTCATCGAAACGTCGGCTTGAAAAGTTATACAAGTTTACATTCAACACCTGGCCTAGGTTGAGGACACGACTTCAGATCAGAGTTTGAGAACCCGTTTTATCTTATTCAGCTTTCAGTGCGCGCGTAGGGATACTTTTGCAATGCATGGCAGTTTGCGGACAGTTGAAGGGGTATCAGGGTCAGGTTAGGTGAAGCCTTCACATGTTAGATTACAGGGTGTGGAAGAGGATATTCCTGCAGTGGATTCATGTTTACGAACTTGTACGGTCACGAACATCTCAAGAGGTGTGTTCTGGACGCAACCCTTGCAGAGATATTTGGCCCCCGACTGTGCCTAGTGTTCCTTTAAGTATATATGTCAAAGCTATGCGTCTAAGCTTTTGAAGTTGCAGAATATAAATCACCACTACTCCTTTTGAAGATGAAAGGAAAACCTTCTCGCTCTTGCATATAGTTTGATTGATTAAGTGCTCTTTTCGGGTATTTTAGTCATACTAAATTGGGCTCTTGGGTACTTGAATGTTTTGGAAAATCACTTTGTTGTTGTCATTTACAATACACGAAGTCCTATCAGTATTCCTGATGTGACCACTAACACTCTACACACAGAGAATGTAGGAATTCTATTTTAAGACAGCACACGAGGGCCGTGGCTTTCAAAATGGACTGTACTATGTATTGACAGCAATATGTTTCGAATGTTTAAGCGTCAATATGTTAATGGTCATTGCGCTTCATAGTTTTCCTTAGTTTTTTTAGGGATCCCAGGATATCTACCTAGATCTGAGATCGAGAATTTCCCCCCTTTTTCTGGTAAACTTAAAAACATGGCGGACACATATACAGTCCAGTGCGCTTGCGCAGGTGGCTACAGCCACCATGCACAGCAGGTCGACAGAAAATACTGCGCATGCGCAAGACCACGATGTTTGGTCAATGTCGCGTCAAAAAAGTTGTCCGTTGCATAAGATATCCTTTCCGACACAATATTTGAACAGAATGTCATTCTTACAGGAACACGACCTTGAACGATGACACATTCTGCAGAAGTGCCATGCTCGTTACGTGACGGGTTTCGCGTTCTGCCTACGTGTTATCATGCGTTAAGTGTAAACAATAAACCGGAACATAATCTCTGTGACGGCCAGTGCATACAGATCATTGTATGAAAGGGTCCAAGATCCCAGAAAATCACGTAATGGCATCATTTCCGTGTGCGGTTTCCTGTCAGATTAACCCTGAATGAACACACCTTGACCTCTAACGAGGTAACTATAGGCTCACTGCACTTCAAGGCTATCTGTCTAATCGCAGCATGATGTTGTGAACACGATTTTGACCCAGCAGGGAACCGGAAAATCTAAACTAATCACAACTGGCTTTGGAAGAATGCATCCGTTATCGGTTGATGAAGTTGAGTACACGTGGGAAAAGGTTTGAGATTGGTTCTGTTGTCAAGTTAGTTGACAGGCTCATAAACTTGGTTATTTTACCATTTTACGCATCGTTGATCTGATTATATGGATTACATCCTCTGGGAACCCCGAAACTGATGTGAGCGTGCGAATAGAAAAAAATTGGCAAAAAAAGTGCCTTTATTATGAAATCTAGGTGGTCATGAAGGTAAAACAAATGACTAAACACACAGAGTAATATTTTATTGGCATGGTGAATAATAGAGTCTTCATTTTCATTCCTTCAGCTTTTCTTCTTGTCCTTTGAAATGGATTTTGGCATTCTGCAACATAAGTATCGTTTTCCAATTCACGGCATATATTTGCTCATTTTGCAACTACTTTGTACGATTTACATCATCGTAGAAAACTTTTTCTGAAACGTTTGACTTTTTCTCTAGAGGCAGTGGGAGATTAATTTTTCGACTCTGAAAAATAAATGGGTTGGGAAACTTAAGACTGCATAAATTACCAGATTTACCTATATTACTAAACTTTCATACATCTGCATGAATTTGCATAGATGAATAAAATTCAATTTGCATGGATTGATCTGGACTACCATCTCCACTACTTTTGGTACGACTCATCTGGGGTTTGAACATACGGTCACCCGAGTACAAAGTAATCACTATACCTCCTGGGTTTTTGCATGTCTGAGTGCATGTCGTGTGGAACGGGTACTGTCGGTATTAGTCACTTTACTTAGTCGCTTCCAATGAGAGTAGACCTTTGCTCCTTAGTTGACTTAAGTGGTTCTTACGTAGGCGTAAAAGCCACGCAATGAAGAGCACTTTACCCCCCGCATCTTCTTCTTAGAAATGATAAAGCAAAGGTATGTCAGCATCCACTTTAAGACTCACCTACGTTCTGCCATTCAAACTTTACCGACCAAGTCAACCTGACGAAGTACCGCAGTTTTATTCGCCCACTTTACTACTTACACACAATTAGAACCCATTCGAACAGACTAATTCATATAACTTTGTTGTTTGCAAAATTATGACGGTTTTTCAGTTTAAGAGACACCTACGCATACTTATTGCCAATTCACTGACAGCTCAAACTTTACAGTTTCAATCTGACAATGTGACTATACTATTCTTACGCCTACTCTATACTTTTCTTGCCGTACCTTTTCTTGCAAAGATTTCTGAATGTTTAAGGCAGTGTAATACGAAACACAGTGTCATAGATGTAAAGAATAAGGTGTCATAACCTTTCTTGGGCCTTAAAGGCATCCAATGCAGTTTTTTGGACTTGGAAACCAGATTTTTCAAAGCCAATATTCTAGTCACTTAACTTCATACTAAGTGGAAAAATCACACCATCCCAATGTATAGTGACTCTCATGGAGCAAAATCACCCAACATGCTGATAGAAAATGGTTATTGGAAGTGCCCTTGGCTGACTTTTAGGGTACCACCCATAAAATGAAGAACTCATCTTGGGGCTTATTTCTGCAGTTTTGAATACCCAAAGTATAAAATACTGAATTAAATGTGCTAGTGTGAAGCAGTATGTGTCAATATCATAAAGATTGCCTTATTCAGAATATTTCCAGTTTTGCTGTTCTGAAATCAGTAGATTCAACTTGATAATCCACCGTGTCTTGGGCCTGGTATTGGACGGCGCAGCCCATCCCTCCACTTCAAGCTAGCTACCAATGTACACCTGAGTTGAATACGGATTGAATGAGGAAAGTCATGCCTTTCCCAAGAAGAAAACGCCCAACCATCAGTTCCTGGAGTCGAACCCTTGACCTATCGATCCCATGTACACCAACCCAATCACTGGGCCATCGGAGCCACTTATACTGTACTGTGAAATGTCGCATACCGTATTGAGTTGTGATTACATGGTCATGGTAATATGAATGCATCAACAGCCAAGACTCTATGAATAATGGAAATATTGCCTTTGGACCAGCAACAGGGCCCCTCATCGACCTAAGTTGTCTGCTATTGACAATCGCACATAACGTATGGTTGTCGCCAAGGTGTCGCCAACGTTGATTGCAGATGAATGATCTTCGGAATGTTAAACTGTGTGCAAACGTCCAAAGGTTTATGCGTGAAAGACATGGATGAGTGTTTGCTTGTCATGTTCATCGTGCTTGATTGATCAACCTATCTGATGGAGTCTAGGCTGATGGAAAACAACATCCATATCTGCCATGATGCTACTGGTTAGGCCATACTGTCTTTATGGATGACATCCTCTGAAGAACCCCAAACAATTCAGAAAAAAATGCTTCGAAACCACAGGAATACAAAGCTGGTATTGTGAATTTGTGGTAGTCCATAGCGACCACAAACCGGCACATGCTTGCCTTTTGGGGCATTTATTGAGTTCTTGAATTCTAGGAGCAGGTTTTTCGAGAACAGGAGAAAATCAATGCGCGCGCGGATGTCATCCATAAAATCAAATCACTGTACGTGGCCGTATGGTCTTTTACTGTCGTGGGAAAGTTACTGAGGCTCGCATTCCACCTACTGAAGACCGTTGTCTGATCGTTGGATGATGTATGACTTCAAAGTTAAATATGACAATTGAAGTAGACGTCTAATTTGAAAGACAATAAAACGAACAGAACTTCTCTTCAGTAAATTCGAAATTAATTTGTTACAATCATTGGCATCTTTTGTCTATCAACGGTCACCACCTTAGTTCGTAACTTTAAAAACTTTTCTATTCAAACTCAAACGTTTCTACCTCTATAAGTCGTTGCAATATGTATATAAATTTGTCGTTCAATGTTATTAAACTAGGTTACGGTGATTAAATGACAATGACAATGAACTTTATTGCATATTCACGCCCTACATGGGCAAAATGCACCACGTTAGATAACTGAGGTACAAGGGTAAAGCGACGGTCACAACTCGCCGTGCGTGCTTTTTGTCCGTACATTTTTGTCGTGGCTACGTCTGCTACGTTTTTTCTGCAAACGTAGGGTGGCCGGCCGAGGGAGTACGTCACTCGCAAGGTGTACGTACGTGGTCTGCACGACACGCCTGGCCGTCAGCGGTTGCGTGCATCGTACGTTGCGCAAGTGGTAAGTGAGTTGTACGTGCTTACAACGTACGATCTCTGTGCGATTGCCACGTTGCCGCGTACAGGCCGTACCTACACGTGCGGCGTGCGCACGATTTCCTTACTCACTCGCACGTTGTAAGTGCGTGCACCTCCTGTTAACTTCATCATCACTAGCCGCCCTGGTGTCTTCCGCGGCCCGTTTCTTTGGACCTTGTCTGGTAGACTTCTTTTGAGCCTTCCTGGGCATCTTGGAGACGAGTTGGCAGTCGCCCGTCAAGTCGTCTTTATATACTGTAGAAATCAGGTGCGTTGCACGTGCGTTGCACGTGCGGTGCACCTAGTATGGTGCACGTGTGTTCTGCGTGGTCATTGAGCAGGTCAACTGGGAAGTGAGGAGTAAGCACGGATGACGCAAGCGCCGTGCGTGGCACTCACGTGCTTCGTGCGCTGTCCGTACAGCAATTGCACGTGAGAATAGTGAAGTTAGACTCACGGAGTCCGTACGTTGCACGCTCATAGGCTGTACGGAGCACGCGCGTCGCACGTGCTCGCACGCACGGGTGGTAAATCCGCAGACCGCACGTAGAAAAAGTATTACATGCACTTAAGGTTCTACGGCGTGTCTGCGTGCTCCCAAATCCGTAGGATTCCGTACGGAGGCGGTACTCACCACGCACGGATGCCGTACGTTTGCCCACGTTTTTGCACGTAGACAGCACGCAGAAGCACGTACGGCGAGTTGTGACCGAGGCTTAAAGGAGGAATAAGTGTTACATCTCTGTGCTACATCTATATCTACAGGATCTCTTCTCTCTTTTTGAAACAAGCATGGACAGATTCACATAAGATTAAAGACATACGCTGAACCACACATGGCACTTGACATGGAAGTCAGTGAGATAACAAGGAGTCAATTCTGCTCGTGAAATGGTTACATATTACCTACTGAGGAGTTCAATAGATTAAATCTAAAATATTTCAATCGATATAAGTAAGCCATATGAAATACCATACCGCATAATGATTGTATTGGAGATAGGTACTGTTTGATAACCTTTGGTTGCATTGCCGCTTCATAGGGTAATGTAAACCCAAGTCACGTCTAACGAACCATACACGCTCAGAAAGTGTGAAGAACTCGTGCATTGGTCACGCCTTTCAAATCTCTGTGCTATGCAATTTAAGAGAACTCAGCTTCAAACTCAATTGGCAGAAAGCCAATATAGCGAGCAGTTAAGAATTTAAAGAGTGACAAGCGCGGCAGATTATACAGCACTTTGAATTCATCACCACCTTTATGTAGTACATTTGCATTAAATCTGGAAAAGGATCTGTGGATTACTTTTCGTTGAGCTTTTCGGTGGTGAAAAAGGTCCCTTTGATGGAGTGTTGCAATCTAAGAGCGATTTAGTTCTAGAGAGGATTGGAGTTGTTTAACAGTGTGTGAAATTCCCTTCTTTAGTGTCCATCTTTGAGTTGACGATTCATGATAGCGAACACAGTGGGTAGAGACAAACGTGCAGTGGGGAGGTAACGAAGCGATCATAGTTGAAAAACGACCTG